TTCACTCCTTTTTTTCTCATTCCACCAAAATTTGTATTTGTATTATTATCATCAGACATTCCGATGAATTTTTGTAGTAAATTATGGTGGTTCAAAACATTGACCACGTAATCTTTTAACTGCTCTGATGTTTTACCAGGTAAGTCACGTAGCTGAAGTAATTTTACTTGGACACCATTTTCTCCATCAAAATATCTTACCATTAAGGGTACAACTTAAATTTCTCTATGATTCGACGAATGGATTGTGAGGCTGACGAAATTTGCTTTTCGAAGGTCAATTTCTAATTGGGATTGAGCCTCTTGAGCTAAAACATTTTTGACAATCCCCTCAGTCTTGGTTCGAGCTGCCGCAAATTTAGGTTCAAACATGCTTACAATTAGTTTTGACGTGCAGTCTAAGGATCTGAAACTTTGCAAATGCTTAATTTTATGGTAAGCAAAAGTACCTTCCTTGGCAGCAATCAACATATTTTCAGAACTTAAATTTTCTTTTTTAACAAAGGTTTCCAATTTGCTGCTCTTCGAGTTCTGCATTAGTAGCCAACATGTGTTTTTTCTTTGACAAATGTTGTTTGATATTACTGCGACCACCGTTAGAAATATCAACATCACTTTTACAAACTTGGCAAAACACAGTATGCGGTGAAACATTTGATTTTTGTTTCATAAAAGGATACTCTGCTTGCAACTCGACGTTAAAATGGCATTTTCTTCTAGGGCGGTGACATGATGAAATTGTTTATTTCAACACACAGCACAAAATAATATAAAAAAACGATGAAAAGTGTTGGTAAAAAGTAATCAACAGTAAGAGCGTCAATTCGAATCATAATTATATTTTGTTTGGACAAAAAGTAGGACTTAATTTTGTGTAATTAAGAAAAAGAGTACATTTAGGTGTACTTCAAAAATTTTAAAGTACAATAGGACAGCGTTTTAAATGAAAGTACTGTCCTACTAAAAAAAGTACATATGGTCACCCTAGGTATACAGCCAACTACTGGGATTTTCCTTCCACTTTATTTGTGGGTGGGTGAATTTTTCAAGTTTGGAAGTTTGGAAGCACAAAGAAATTATATCAACAGCACAAAGCGGTCGTCTAGGTAGTTAATTAAACTAATTGTGAGTAAGTCTTATTTATTTCTTTTTTACCTAGTTGTGGGAATTTCTTTTCATACATAGGAGTTGAATATTTGGTACCAGTCAAGTGCATGATGAATAGCCAAAAATATAAATCCATGTTAAATCAGCATTTGGACACAGAACTCCAAAAATGTCAGATCCAAGGAGGATTGATTCCCTGTCACAACTCAAAGCAAATGATAGAATTTTTAAAATAAGAAGATTACTGTTTTAGATTGGCCCGGCAATTCGCCAAAGCTCAACCCCATTGAAAATTTATGGGCCATTTGAAACTCTAGACTGCGTAAAATCGACTGTACTATAAAAATAGAAATGATAAAGTTAAAAGAAGCATAGTACTGTAAGAAGTAAACTAATGCGTTCATATGACTTATTTTCTAAGTTTCGATGTGTCTTATGGTTTTATTGCTTTGTGTGGTGATATAAAACTGATCTGGCAATTTTTCAATATGAGAGAATCCTGTCTCCAGTCATTTGTTAAAAGTTAAAGTTGTTTATATGTTAAAATGTAAACATAGGTGATACAATTTTTTATGTTAATTCCTCGACACATCTCGTAACGCAAGAATTAGGTAAACGAATACGAAATGTTTATAAAATTGCTTTGTTTTTCCGCCCAAAATAGTTTTTTTATTATTTCTGTACGTTCAAAATGTTCGAATTCCGTATCTTAATTCATTAAACTTGTTGCTTCTAAAAATAGATAATGTCTTACGATATACATAGGTAAACAATTACTCATTTTTACTAGTAATGGTTTTAATGATAACTTATCTTTATATTTATCAAGGGATATACAGTCATGTTTGTGGTTCTCTTTAAAATTAATACTAATTTATCAACTACGTATATGTATTTTTAAAATGTTTTCTTTACCTTTATGCCCTATGGGGATTTTCTATAATTTCCAATCTTATAATCAGTATACCAGGTAATGGATTGTCAAACGGGCCGTGGGACACTCAATGGGAAATTTTAAACTGTTGAATTCTTGCTTCTATAATTACTTTACATCAAAGCTCATGAAAAAATATTTGTAGAGGACTGAAATCTGTATTAAAAACACGTTTTAAAATTGTTCTACGAATTAAGCGGACTTTTACTTTCTTAATCGAAAACTAACACTTTTAGTTGTTTTTCACCCCTGCAGAGGGCGTCTTCCAAAAGATGCATTTTAATTTGAGAGACACTTTTCTGCCTTCCTGTCAAAAGATTTTGACAATTCCAGTGGAATCCAATTCGTAAGAATTAAAACTAATAAATAAACCTTAAAAAAGTTAATTTTTTTATATTGTTAAGGCCTTTATATACGACTAGTGATTTTGCACGTCACCATGCCCGTTTAGGACGACCACTACCACCACTACAATGTTCTGGTCATCTTCACAATTGCATATCGCAAACTGAAATAGCTCTATCAAGTTTGTTGCAAAAAGTGCCAATATTACATATATATACTTCATTTAATTTACTTACCTAGGCACGACATTATCATTGACAGAGATCGAAGTTGACATAATTGCCAAAGTATAAAAAAAATCCTGACTCCATTTTAAATCAAATAGGTCACATAATTATTGCAAAAGTATTACCATCTCTTTACAACGACTATTTAAATTCTTACGTGACATTTAAACACACTAATTTTGTTCTAAAAAGAACAGATTTTATTAAATAGGTAAAAATATAAAACAAGAGGTATTCACTTTAAAATTAAAAATAATAAAGTACAAAAAGTGTCAACACCGCAACTGTCAAATAAGTGTGTAGGACACCGTAGGAAAAATATATGGCTTGAAGATAAATGATGGAAAAACTAAATGCATGGCAATAAGAAAACTGCAAGTAGATAGTGCTCCAATCCATCAAGTGGAAATATTTAAATACTTGGGAATGATGATGAATGACCAATGGGATCCTCAACAAGAAATAAAATGCCGTACCCAACAAGCAAGACAAGCTTTTATAAAATTTAAACCGCTACTATGTAACTGCAATATTTCCTTCAATCTCCACTACAGGATGGTTAAATGCTATGTATGGTCCATATTGTTATACGGCATGGAAACATGGACGTTAAGAGTACCTTCCATTAATGAGTTGGAGGCCTTCGAAATGTGGACGTTGCGAAGAATGTTCCGCATACCATGGACATATAGGGTAAGCAACACGGAAGCCTTAAGAAAGGCAAATACTGGGAGAGAACTACTCAATTTGATCAAGGTACGAAAAATTGGATATCTCGGCCATATTCTGAGAGGAAAAAAATACGCAATCCCTGAACTAATCATCCAGGGAAAGATTAAAGGCAAGAGAGAAGTAGGTCTCACACAAATGTCGTGGCTACGGAACATAAAAAACTGGACAGGCATAAATAACACTGGCGATCTTTTGCATGCCGCAAAAGACAGACGTCTGGCCTTAAGATAATTCGCCAACCCACTATAGGTGTACGGCACTATAAGAAGAAGAAGATATATGTGTATGTGTGTGTGAAAGATATGACACGGAAACAAGTTCATCAGCCACAGAATGTTTTATTTATGTTTAAAGACATTTTTTTGTTATTTTTTTTAAATACATGTGTGATAGACTTAACGGAAGCAAATATTTCATTTCAATAAGAGTTTGAATTAACTTATTAGATTTTTCTAAATATTTGTTCCATCCAAAGACAATATGGTTAAAATCTTCCTAAGAACTTATATCACAACTGCAAGATGGTGCCGGTGATAGTTTTAGGAAGTATATAAATAGTGAGGAATAATGACGAAGTACTTACATACCGGTGCAAGGATTGTTGTTCAATTTTTATTGTCTGTTTTCTAGTTTGTATTTAGACATTGCGAATGATATGATTTGCATGCAAATCTAGCTCTCAGATTATAGTTTGTATCTTCTTCTTTAAGTGCTGTCTTCTACGAAGCTTAGCTATAACTTCTGTACATTCTTTTCTGTCGTGGGATTTTCTTATTAGCGATTTAAATTTTGCCCCAGCCCATTATGTCATGTTTCTTAGCCGCGTCTGCCTTATAGCTTGCTTTCCACTATCAGACGTAAGAAGTTATATCTATAGTGCCTAGTCCGTGCCCAAGATAAGTTGTTTTTCGCTTTTTCACAATGTCTAGGAATTCTCGATCCATGTTTATCTGCGTTAGAACATCTTCGTGTCTGAAGTAGTCTGTCAAAGGAATCTTTAGCATGCAGCGAAATATCTACATATCTATATGCCTTTCAATGTATGGTTTATAGAGGAGACCAATTGAATAAGTTGCGTCATTGCAAGATATCTCTGTTACATATTCATTTTTTTTTGGTTCCAGATCATAGTGTGACTTCACAAGTAGATAACGGCAAACTGTATGGCGAGATCGTCGCATTCCTGTCAAATGTCATGTTTTAAACACAAAACTCCAAAAATGTTACATTTAACGTGAAATATTACGTGACACGGAACATTTCGTTGGGTGTTGACTTGGCGCTTACTCAATACTTAAGTAACGCTGACTGAATGATGAAGTCTAAACGCATGACTCCAAAAAGATTACATTTAACGTGAAATGTGACGTGAAACGTAACATTTCACGTTAAATGTTACGTATAACGAGATATTTGACAGGATATACGACGTCCCCATTCATACGTGACAATCGGAGCATTTGCCTTGCTGACGTATTGTGCTGACGTGCCTGGTGCCTGACGTACCTATAGAACATGTACTCGCGAGAACATAATGGGATCATAAATGGAATATAGTATTTTATGCATAATTTTGTTTTACTAAAAAAGATCCTTGTAAACCTTTATTATCAGTCACTATTTCATTCGTGAATTTAACAAACCCTTTCTTTTCAGGGTTACAGAACAGACACATCAACAGACGAACCAAAAATCAGACAAATCAAAGAATCCTTCGAACCGCCTACGTTGATCACAAAAGCACTCACCCATATCAGTTTCTACATCCTCATGTTCTTAGGATACCTCAGCCAGGCGCTTTTCCCACCTAAGTTAGCCAAAGAAAAAAATCGAGAAGGTTATCGACCGTTATACGATCGGTTTGCTGCTTTCTATTCCCAATACGTATACAGGCGTATCAAGGACTGTTGGAATTTACCGATTTGTAGCGTGCCCGGGGATGAAGTCGTACTTAAAGATAGAATTACGAAAGATCACTGCTGGACCTTTGAGTAAGTATTCTATGGTGTAATTATTACTTGTGTTATATGTTTCTAATCACTCACAAACATCGATGTTTTGTGACGGTTTAAGATCACTTACACCAAAAAATAAGTATACTTTATTTAGTTTAAGTTAGTTTTATAAGTTAAAAAATTGTTTATTGCAATAAACACCTAACGCATGCAAACAACGATGATCAAGAATATTGCAAGTATAACTTTGTGAAGGGCTAGTCAGCAGACTCAGTAAAACTCATTAAAATTAATTTAAAATCATTTTATTCGAATAAAACTAAATAAGAAAATAAAATGATATCCCAGATAATCCTAGCAACGACGGGATCTACGCATAGCTGGATGAGCCACTGTTTAATACCTACGAAATGGATTACAGGTAGACGGATCGATCAACAATCGATCGAGTAGCGAGAAGTGACTAATCAACATGTAGCCAGGGAACAGGTTCATCTCAGTTCAACACCGGTAAGCTGCTGCCACTAGATCAACACTCTATCAGAGGCACTTATCCTTCGGTCAACATGCTAGGGCCAATGGTGTTGTTCCCAGATCAACACTCTGATAGAAATCGATTCTCTCGTGCGGCGGCTCTTGTTTTATACCGTTGTCGGCCTTCCATCTCCTCTAGCACGCATCGATGGAAGTGGAACTCAGCGGTTGGAGAGTGCGTGTGTATTATGGAGCGTTATCGAAAAAAAGTGGAACTCAGCGGTTGGAGTGCGTGTGTACGGTGCGTTACCGTGACGGTGGCGATAGCTGGCGATGCACATCATTACAACTTAACCAAACAAGGTACACAAGTCATAGGCGTATATGCACCCATGTGGAATTGTCTTTCTCCTATCGGACGCATCCCCAGGTAGTGGATCGGAACCTCTGAAACTATTATATAGAGTGTTCCAAAAAAAAAGGTAACCCCGTCTCTAGCGTAGGTAAAAAACTGAAAAATAATTGGAATTTGCTTAGTAAATAATTTTTGTAACGCCATCCGTTTTCAAGATACAGGGCGTTGAAGAAAAAAAAATTACGCATTTTTTACGATGGCGAAACTACTGGCAACATTGTAATGAAATTTTATACGAATATGTTTTGGAAGCTGATACATCCCATAAATTTATTCTTATATCTGATTCTCAGAGAGGGCTCTAGTTACACGGATCGTACTAAATATTAGTCAATATCTATAACTTTTTTAAGAGTATAATTATTAATCAACATTTCAAGTAAACTAAAACATCATTCAATTTTACACGAAAAAGGTACTCTTGGTAAGACTCGATACTGTGTACCGTTTTCGGAATATTTTGATTTGAAAATAATGAAGTAATAATTGATGCTGGTAGTAATGATAAAGTTCTAATAGGTATACCTCTATTTTCTTCAAGTGTGCCATGTAAATCTGACATTTATTGATTGTTATGTCGATAAATCAACAATAATTATAGTTTTGAAACCTTGTTATTTGTAAAATCAAATCAAAATGTACTCAAATGTTGAATACACTGACATATTATTAACCTTAGGCAAATGTTTAGGATGTTCTAGTGCAGCTGTGACACGTTATGCAGAAAATTTTCCTAGAAGAAACTTACCAAGTAAAAAAAAATATTTAGAGCCGTTGAAGGACGTTGTCAAGAAACTGGGAATGTGAGACCAAATAAAATAAATTCTGGTAGACCAAGAATAACAAGAACAATTAATAAAGAAAATAATATTCTAAATTTACTTGATCAAGATCCAACTTAGAGTTAGAGTGGATTTTTGTGAAACATTGCAACAAAGGACAGCCCACAATCAAAATTTTTTAAAATGCATTCTTTTTACGGACAAGGCCACCTTTACGCGACAAGGTATGTTTAACTCCCATAATGCACATTACTGGTATGATGAAAATCCACGAGTCAAAAGGGTATCACATTACCAACACTCATTCATTTAAAGTGAATGTTTGGGCAGCAACTTTAGGTAACAAATTAATAGGTTAGCATATTCTACCTGGAAATTTAAATGGTGATATGTATCTTGATTTTTTAAACAATTCCTTATTCGAGATATTAGAAGATTTAACGCTAAATGAGCGAAGATCTTTATTTTTTATGCACGATGGAGCTCCATCACACTTTGATAGAAGGTGTCGTAATTGGTTGAGTAATCATTTTCCGAATCTATGGATTGGTAGAGGTGCAGAAGCTCAGATTCATTGGCCTCCTCGGTCATGCGATTTTAACCCTTTGGACTAGGCAGTTTGGTCGTATATAAAGGAAAAAGTCTATGCTACAGAGGTAAATTCACGCCAAGAATTGGAAGAAAGAATTCAACGTCAATTTAATGATCCTGATGATAGCTGATCCCCTACCGTTTAGAAGGTTAATGGAATCTTTAGAAAAAAGAATAGACTTGTGTATCCGCGAAAACGGAGGGCATTTTGAACACTTACTGTAATTGAATTTTATTTTATGTTCTTAGTCATTAATTTAATTTTCTTCTTGTTAGTTTTTTTTAATTACTAACTATTTTATACCAGCATCAATTATTACTTCATAATTTTCAAATCAAAATATTCCGAAAACGGTACACAGTATCGAGTTTTACCAAGAGTACCTTTTTCGTATAAAACTGAATGATGTTTAAGTTTACTTGAAATTTTGATTAATATTATACTCTTAAAAAAGTTATATTGACTAATACTTATTACGATCCGTGTAACTAGCGCCCTCTATGAGAATCAGATATAAAAATAAATTCATGGGATGTATCAGCTTCCAAAATATATTCGTATAAAATTGCATTACAATGTTGCCAGTAGTTTCGGCAAAATCGTAAAAAATGCGTAAATTTTTTTTTCTTCAACGCCCTGTATCTTGAAAACGGATGGCGATACAAAAATTTTTTACTAAGCAAACCCCAATTATTTTTCACTTTTTTACCTACCCTAGAGACGGGGTTACCTTTTTTTAAAACACCCTGTATATATTATATAGCTGGACGAAACTTACGACGACGATTCTGGAACGAAAACTGGAATTGAGAATTAGATACCCAAGAAATAGATAACCGATCTATAATTATGTCTTTGATGGATCCGTCCAAATTCCAATCTCCCTCCTATAATCAAATTACACTGCCTTTCCCTACCAAACATTTTTATTTCTCTTGTTTTTTTTTATTTAATCTTACGTGCCACCATCTTTTCTATATAATTAAATATTCGTTAACGGACTAAACGTCCAGTCGGTGGTTGATAACCTATCAATATCTATTATTTTTTCGTTCACAGTATCTTAAAGACCGTAATAAAGACCATAATATCATAAAGACCCGGATCTTTTTACCGATAAAGACTACTCTGTGGTTAGTTGTAGTTTGCTCTAAATTCCTGCATTTTATTTTAATCCAAGCACATCCGAAGCATGATTACAACAACTGCTGTTTGTAAAAAGATATACTGCACCAGCTTATCTTCGACCTTTTTACCGCCTCCGCAGCGACACTTACATTGACTAGCCACTGAACCCCCCGTATTTTGATCAGATGTCTAAAACATGGTTTTCGAATAAAAGATAATTTTTTAAGTTTTAAAATATTGATTGTATAATTTTATTGTTTATAAAATTATTAAAATTTTGCATATTTTAAATCTCTTATCGGGAATATAAAATATTTAATGTCCAATTCTATTGATATCTTATAATATCTAAAATATTAATGCTTGCGTGGTAGGTAATCATTTATGGTTATATTATTATATTGTATTATGTTCCTATATACATTGTAATAATATGTAATATTATCCAGCAAGATTTAATGATATAGAATATAGAATATGTAACTGTTTTTTTATAATATTATGAGGCTTTGGTTTACATTAGTCAAACATAACATTGATAAAGAAAATGATTATTAGGTTACTTGGAAAACCGTCGATCGCGTGTAAGATAGGCGATCATCAATTTAGTTTTAATTTTATTTATCTTTATAAAAAATGCAGCTGTGCTTATTATAGTCTTGCTGTCATTTTGTAACTGTTTCCTGGTTCTATCTAAGTTTTATCAAGTATGTCATTTGGAATAAATCATAAGTTACAATATAAAGTCTCCATTTGACGACATCGACGAAAGCGTTCTCAAAACACAATTCTGGCTTGTATTTCCTTAGAAAAAGTATCTTCTTTCAACATTTTATCGTTATTCATCCATCACAACCATCATCTGGTATATTCTGCCAATGAGAGTTATGTTCAGGGCCGTTCCTAGGGTATCTGCTGCCGAGGTGCTAGAGTAATTTGGCCACCCCAATATATCTATACCATTTGGTAAGACTGTGATAACTGCATTATTAGTCATTTTGTGTTTATTGTACAAAAATATTCAAAACAACATTTGTTATCGTTTGGGCAGACGCTGCTAAATGCATGACGAATATAATTTGATTGACAACGTTGGTTATTTAATGATATAACATTTTTTTGTTTATGTGTGATCAGATTATCATAGTATTCTTGTCACGCAATGATCAAAATACATTTTTCATTTTTTATGGTCAGTAAGTGTATATATCATCAGATGACCAAATTGACATTAAAGCCCCTTTTATAGTAGAAACTGTTATATATGATTCATAGCAACAACTGACGAAACAAACGAAAAATAATATTCGCGAAATCTTTTAACGCGCGCTGTCAGTTATCATTGCTCTCGTGCTTGTGCTTGTGCAATAGATCACAAATATTTAGTTCCAGGACATACGCATTTAGAATGCGACTCAGATCATGCCAATATAGAGACAAAGAAGAAACAGTTCGATGGAGTAATTTGGTGAGAATGAGTACTCATTATATAAAAAAATAAAGAAATAAAATTTCTTTCCTTTTTCAGATTTTTTGAAATCTAGTTTGTTCGTGAGAAAGACGAAAGATGAAGGTTATGAAAGCGTTTGAAAGAAGAAAAAGGAATAACTACGACTCGTCAAACATTATTGTTTCTCTTGCCTATGAAAAACAGCCATTTCGAATCAGCCAAGAACAATATAAGGACATTTTAAGTCTATTACCTTTCATAGGCCCACTTTATCAACCTTTTTGTAAAAACCTACCGCATTCAATGACTAAAAACGATATTGTCAGTAATAGCGACGAATCACGTGATAATGACGTGGCTTGGGTGTAGGTTAGCATGGGGCTCAGCGTGGGGATTGGCGCGGAGATTGGTGCGAATATTTCTGACAGTAGGATTTTGATTGACAGGTGAAGCGGACGGCATTTTCTTTATGAGAGGTCTCCAAGTCGAAGGTAACCGTTTTCCGTCATCTTCTTTATTGAGACAATTTGGCCTTTTTCAATCTCTATGGCCTCTCAGATAATTCTTGGTTTATAGAAGTGGATGGTTCTGGAGTTTTCAAACTCAATTGTGTGACCTGTATGAAGATGATGTTGACTTGAAGCTGAAATTGAATCGGAATTGCGAACAGAAATGGAATGTTCATAAATCCTATTTTGGATTCTACGATTTGTTTGGCCTATATAATATTAGGGACAGTCTGCACAAGGAATTTCATAAACTCCGTGTTGTTCATTTGGAATGTTTTCTTTGATTGATTGGACAAGGGATGAAAGTTTTTGTTGATGGGTAAATATTGTCTTTATTCCTCTTGATTTTTAAAATGTTTACGATTTTTTCAGTGACACCTTTGATGTAAGGAAGAAAAGCTTTCGTATGATGAGGGTCTGAGTCTTTGGGTTGAGATTAAGTGCGAGATTGACGTCTGTAGATGCTTCTATTCATGTGATTTTCGCGGTAACCGTTTTGGATGAGGAAAGTTGGCATGCAAGTAAAGATTTGTATGGGTGGATTTTCGATAAACAAAGCGATGAAAATGAAAGCTAGACCTCGGAAGCCCTGAAGACACCGAATAGGACGTCGAAAGCTCGGCTCAATAATAATAGCAGTGGTTCAATTCGGAAATAAAAATTAAACTTCAAATATACAATAACAATTTCTTTTCCTACATACTTTACAGTCTTTCTGTTACTAGCACTATAATAATATATTTATTTTTTTATAATTAGTTTTTCCCCGTTTTTAGGTGGCTCGCGCCGCCTATTTGACTTTCCGTCTGGATACCCCCACCCCTTGCACCCTGGCTAAGAGTCGTAAGACCTTGATCGTGGATCAGACATAAAAACGTTTTAGAGCCACTGATATTTTCGATTAAACTTGTGGCGTAATGTGTTGCTTAATTCAGACGTTGGAGTAAATTTATCCAATGGCTATTATAGTTAAAAACAATGAGTACATGGGTGGAAAACTGCTTATTTTTAGAAATACGTATTAACCTACACAATGTAAAATATCAATTTTTGTATTGGTAAATTACACCGGCCTACTAAATTATTTTTATTTGACAAAATATTAAGATAAATAGTATGGTACTTTGTTGCTCTTGTGGTAGCTTGTATTGGTCAAGAATATTGATAAAACTATTGATAATTAACCCAATCAAGTTCCACAAAACCATAGTCGATTCGTCATTGAAAAAGCTTCCTTTCAAGATATAATAGAATACAATAAAGTGGTTTTTGCATTACTTAAATAAAAAAATTTAAAAACACTCATTTTAGACTTTTTGTTAATTCTCATAGTTTATTAACAATTGAAAAAAGCTTTAAATGTATTTAAGTATTTTAACGAGAAAAAAGGTAAATTATTTGTGAACCCTACATATTTTATTCTATATTTAAGAATAAAAAAACGGTTTTTCGCAATTTTAGAGCCTCATATCTCCGAAACAAGTCTCATGCATTATACCAGCTTTTAGAACAAACAACAACAGGCAAATATATTAAAAAGAACAAGAGTCAAAAGAAAAAGCTCTTACACATTGGTGTATACAAATTAAAATGTGGCGACTGCCCAAAGACTTACATCGGTCAAACTGGTAAAACTTTTAACAAACGTATAGCAGACCATAAAAGGTCTTTCAATAATAGAAATATTCTACGTACGCACTTCACCTTCTAGACCATAATCATTCTGTTAATGACAAATTTCAAATTCTTCACATCCGAAATAAAGGCCTTAAGCTATCTTTGTTTTTTGGCATAGGGTTGCATAGCAGTCACAACTTTTTTAAGTCTTCCAAGGAAAAAAAAAAGAAATAATTATCACAATTATTATTATGGTTATTGGTTATCAATAGCAAACATGCACTCGCTTGTCTGGGACCATCAAGAATTAATTAAATGTAAGCTATCTTTGTTGAATCTATGAAATAACAAATACGACTAAAATCACTTAAGACAAACGTTCCCCTCCTCAATCTCTTCAGTTAAAGACTATAAAATGCAAACACATACTAAAAATAGATCACTTGAGAAATGCACTCTGCCGAAACAGCTGTAGTGATAAGATATAATAAATTTTGTGGAACAATGTTTTATGGTTATTACATGGTTTTGCTGGATTTGCTGTCTCCATTTTTTTTTTCTCTTAACGATGTTAGAAGAATTTCAAAACAATTATTAATATTTTTTTTTGCTTTAGGTTTACTGGTACCAAAACGAAATGTATAAATTTGGCTTCCTACAACTACTTGGGTTTCGCAGAAGCCACGGGTCCATGCGCTGAGCATGCAATTCGGACCATTTACACCAATGGCATAAGTACCGGAAGTACCAGACAACAGAATGGAACGTGTGCACTTCATGACGAACTGGAGCAGCTGATAGCCGAATTCGTGGGTGCCGAAGATGCCATCACCTTTGGAATGGGTTTCGCGACGAACTCACTTAACATTCCCACACTCGCATCGCCTGGTTGTCTGATATTGAGTGACGAGAAGAATCATGCCAGCTTGATATTGGGTATCAAACTTAATAGTCCCACCGTTAGAGTATTTAAACACAATAGTAAGTGATTTATGTTTTATAAATGTTTGGCGGCGTGAAAAAGTTTTGATAGCTGATTTTAACCAAATCAGTTAACTACCGATACAAAACTGTACAGCATGTATTCTATGCAGTATCGAGACGTCAATGTACTGCATAAAATACATGCCGTGAAAGAAAAATTTCAGAAGCACACAACGCTTAAACTGAGAGAACAAAAACTTCTCGGTTTTCTTCTACCTCGCCTTCTTCAACTTCCAAAAACTCCTTGCTACCTTGTATATATCCTATCTTCCTCTCTTTTAGACCTGTTGTACATCTTTCTAGCCTCTTTTTTCTGTCTAACCTTCTGTTGCACTTCTTCGTTCTAACACCAAGTTTTTCCGATCTATTTGGAAGAGATTGCAATGAAGTGAACCACTATTGAATGTCCCCAGGAAATATCAGGTTATTCTATCAACGTGTCAAAGTAACGACTTAGTTTCAAACCATTTTTGAAATATTTTCTCCACCTAGTCCTTCTTTTCAGAAGTCATCATCTGATGATCCCATCAGCTCCAAGTGCCTATTCAGCTTACAGTGCCCTGTCAGAAGACCTACTATGGCTTTGACTGTTTTCCTGTCTTTGCGTATTAGGTCTGCTGTAAATTTTGGCGAATGTTCTGTAATGAACTGTTTCGCCTGTCTTTGTCCTGGTGAATTCCTCCACGATTCAAGAGATTTGTGACTACCTACTTCCTTGTAGCCGTTCTTGTTACTTGTTACTGTCTTTGCAACGTCGCAGAAGGGTTTCGGTCCAATGAATGGCATTGATGAGCCTTGTTTGGCCATTTCATCTGCTTTTTCATTGCACTTATGACCCTTGTGCCCCGGTACCCAGGCTACCGTAACCTTGGTACGGTCTCCCAGTTTATTTAGGGCACCCACACATTCCCATACTAGCTTAGAATTGACCTTTACAGAATTGAGTGCCTTAAGCGCTGCCTGACTATCTGTGAAGATGGCAACTGAATGGAACGTTCTTTCCTGCCTTTCTATCTCTTACACGCAGTGATGAACATTTCTCTGACATGGTAATAAAAGAATACAATAATTGCACTGTAGTTCAAAATAAAAAAATATTTTACAACGCTCGATGAACTTAAGGAATTGCGAATTACGGCTGAGTCACAACACAAGCACGTTAACAACCCCCTTTCATACCTGCCCGGTCGCCATAGTCAAGGTCTTTATTTCACCACACAGCAGAGAAATAACTTTATCAAAATAAAATTAGTCATCCAAAGTCACGCGTCGTAACTGATCAAAAGTATCCGAAATCACGTGTCAATTATGGATTCTCGGAAATAGTTGAGTCGATCATTAGTGGTGCGTAAGTTTGTAAGAAATGTTTATTTGTTGGTTACTTTGTACTGTAACAATAAAATATTATATTTCTGCTTATAATATGGTAAAATTTTCATATTTGCTATAGAATTTGTAAAACTGTGTATAATCTTAAGTATTTTTCTGCCGTAGATGTTAAGCATCTGGAAAAACTCCTCCAAGAAGCCATCTATTACGGCCAACCCAACCAACCCAACAACGAGTACAAACCTTGGAAGAAAATTATTATTTTTATCGAAGGAGTGTATAGTATGGAAGGAACTATTGGCCGCCTTCCGGAAATTATAGCTCTTAAGAAAAAGTACAAAGCTTACTTATATTTGGACGAGGCCCACAGCATAGGAGCCATGGGCAAGCACGGCAAAGGTGTTGTAGATTATTTTAACTGTGATCCCAAAGATATCGATATTTTGATGGGTACGTTTACGAAGAGTTTTGGAGCCGCAGGTGGATATGTTGCAGGTTCAAAGGTAAATATTTTCCTTTAATTTGCATTAGGATATCAAAAACATACATAGTTTTCCTCTTTTGTTCTTATACCCTTTTAGGTGTCGGATTGGGTTTGTCATCTTTTTTTTAACTACACTTCCATGCTTTTTGGTTTACTTTTAACTGATTTAACTGTGAAATCAGAAACAATCTTGGATATTTCAGGGATGTAAATGTTAAGTTAGGCAACGGTTGAGGTTGGCTAATCTGAGATATTGCCGCTGCAGTTACGGATGAAGTCCACAACGGCAGCCACGGCGGAGAAGCAAAACTTCGGAACGGTGCTAGTGGCGTAAGTGGCAACCCTCGATTTTAGGGTTGATATAGAATCAAGTCAAATACTGGCCAACGGTTTCGGGCGGAGGAGCTGGTAGATGTAAGGGCACTCTTTTGTCCTGAGATAAAGAAATATATCTCGAAGGCGGATGAACCAGGGAATGGTCAACGGCATAAATCATGGTTCTGGGATGCCAGGATTCGGCAGGGAGAGAAATAACAATGATGACAGGGCTCCTCGGGTCGTTAACCAACGAAATCCCTGCGTACTAAAAATAAAAAATTCAACTTTTAAAATAGCAACATTGATATCAGATTTATACTACAGCCAACGATCAAATGTGAAAATTGGAAGACAAGTGTCAGAAGAAGTGGAGATAAGGAGAGGAGTCAGGCAAGGTTGCATACTGTCGTCGCTATTGCTTTTTGCTTATCCTGAAGAAATCATACAAGAAGCTTTGGTAAACGAGACAGTCGACATAAAAGTGAACGGAAGTTTAATTAACAACATTAGGTATGCCGACGATACAGTCATAATAATGAACAAACATCAAAAAAACCAAATTCGTGAAAATTAGCAAGAACAACAATACAAACCAAATATTAACGGTAGGCGGCCAGCAGATTGAGAGCGTAAAAAGATATACTTACTTGGGAACGATAATCACAGAAAATAACCATTATACTGCAGAAATAAGAGTCAGGATTGAAAAAGTACGTGCCAACTTGAAAATGAATAAGATTTTATGCAGCAAAGATCTGTTATTGGCCCTTAAAATAAGGGCTAATTAAATGCTATGTACACAGTGTACAATTCTATGTACACAGTGTACTCTACTATGGATCTGAATCATGGACATTAATCCGAAATACAATAAATCGACCTAACGTGTTTGAAATGTGGACATTTAGAAGATTGTGTAGATCCATGGGTAGATAGAGTCACGAATACAGAGGTGTTAAGGAGAACAGGCAGAGAGAGGGAAATGAAAAATACAATAAAAGAAAGGGAATTGCAATATCTCATTTGGTGACATTTGGTGAGAGCCGAAAGATACAACATCTTGATACTCATAATTCAAGGAAAAATAGAGGGTAGGAGAAGCGTAGGAAGAAGACACGTTTCCTGGTTGAAGAACCTGAGAAAGTGGTTTGGTTGCAGCTCAAGGCAATTGTTCGGAACAGTTGCCTCGAAGCTCAGAGTAGCCATGATGATTGCCAACCTTCGTCGCGGAGATGGCACTTAAACAAGAAGAAAGAAGTTCCAGGAGACCTCGAATAGGAGGTCGTATTTCGCTAGGGAGCATCACAATAAGATGGTGAAGATATGGAGAAGGTGAACAATTGAACGAGTGAAGTTTTAGTCTAGAATAAGTTTTGACTGTGGTTCAGTTGTGGCAGGATATTTCTGACTGGTAATAAATACATAAATGGAATACTGCAAGATTATTTTGTCTCATGCACCAATAATTATAGAGGAGCAGACGCGGAAACACGGACCATTTTTTAGTATCAGGAGAAGTAAAAACGAAGGTAATTACAACAGAGAGATCAACATAAGACAAAAGAATATGGAACTTGGGGAAGGTAAGAGTATAGAAACTAAGAAAACAATATGAGAAAACCCTAAAGGAAAATCTAACAGAAGCAAATAACATAGAGGAAATATGGAAAAATATAAAAGCATACATTTGGAATTCAGCTGAAGAGGGTCACGTACAGGGGGAAATAAAAGGAAGGTAAGAATGTCACAGAATGCGAAACACAAACCAAACAAAAAAAAGCAAGAAATAAATGGATATCAACTACAGAAGAACATCATCGAAATGAATAAAAAGAAAAAAAAAGTTAGAATAATGTTGCAAAAACAAAAAAAAAGCTGTGGATGGAAGAGTGGTTTTGCTTCGAATCGATGAGTCAGCTTTATTGATAAATTCATGTATTATGGTTAGGTATTCTTCTAGTCGTATTTCGTAAATTTTTTGTAAACTCTTATATATTTAGCTTTTTTTAACTAGATAACGATTACAGTTTCTTAGGTAGTATCTATTTGTAATTGGGAGAGGAATTGTAAATATTGTAGTTTCTTAGAGAATAGACGTAGAGCATTGCTTGAGACGAGAACAATTATCATGTTTTATGTTTCGAACAAATTTTTTTTTCTATTTTTAGGAATTCATATCTTTCATTCGCGAACATAGTCACGCGTCTCGCCACGCTTGGGCGATGTCGCCGCCAGTCGCAGCACAGATCATATCAGTTCTAAAGATAATCATGGGCAAAGATGGTACAAACGAAGGACAAAAGAGAATCGAACGGTTAGCCAGGAATTCCAGATATGTCAGGTTGCGTCTCGAACAGATGGGTTTGATCGTACACGGAAACCAGGATTCTCCAGTAGTTCCGATTTTAGTGTACCGTTATTCAAACATAGCGTAAGTATTTGTGCTTTGAAATGGCAAAAAAATTGCTTTCGTTTTGTTTTTATCCTTTACAATGGCTATCTCTCCTTTTTTTCTTTGTCTCATCTCTATTGCAGGTGATGAGATTATTTTTCCAGGTCATTTGTGTATTTGTAAATAATCAATTTTCTCCTTCAGTTAATGTTGTTTCCATTTTTTGCAGAATCTGATATATATTCACTTTTTTCGTTTATTTCTCCAATTTCAGTAAGGGAACGTTTGACTCACTTGTTTAATAACTTCGACTAGCTCACAACTTATTTTTTATTACACAATTATTGGCGCTCAACGTGGGGAGCAAACAATTTTTGACAGAAAAAACAGTAAAACAAAATAGTTAGTTAACAAAGAAACGAAATCTTGAAGATAATAAATAAAAATTGAACGTGTTAATATACGTTATTTTTTTTATAACATAATAACAGTCCTGTCACCTATCAGAAAATTTGTTAAACGAAGCTGAGAAATTTTTCCCAAAAAAAATCACAATACGCTATATTGCATCTTTATACAACATATAAATGTTCTAAAAGACCCTTTCGGGATACATCAGAGAACGTTTTCGGACTAATGAGACCATCTTCAGTGCAGTTGCCAGGTATACATGAGTGAAGCCATTAAATATATAGGTAAAACCCTTATTAATTCTGTTAATTATTACATATTTGTTGATAAATTCTATTATAAATATGTAATAATTAACATATTTAATATTCATTTCACATATTTAGAGGTTTCACTTATTTATACCTGCACTGATGATATACTTATACCTGCACAGTCAACTACAGAAATTTAATGTTCCTTGTGGATTTTCTCCAAATGTTTTGCTTTGTTAGACTCATTTTGATCAATTGTCAGTACTGATCTTTTTTTATTTCGTTTCTAAATTTTTGTTACATTTCAGCACAGTGGTAAGAACATTAATTAAAGAAAAAATAGCAACAGTGGGCGTAGGTTATCCAGCAACGCCGCTTGCAGAATGCAGAATAAGAATTTGCATATCAGCGGGCCACACGAAAGAGCAGCTCGATTATGCCTTAACAGTCATAGAACGAGTAGCAGACGAAATAGGTATCAGGTATTCTAGAAAACCGAGAGATCCAAATCCGATTGATTACAACACGATCAAAATATATCAGGATTTGTTTTAGGAAGAGACTTTTAGACGAAGCTTTAAGAGAACACCAGCCTGCGTTAGGAGGTTTTGTTGTTTTTATAAATTTTATAAAAGCATTTAATATTTGATTTCCATAGCTATTTATTAAGAATCATTTTTGGCTCTGTTTCATTTTAATACTTTGCAAAATAAAATATAAAAACAGTATCGTTTTGTCTCTGAATAATTTTCTGTCCTTTACCCAAAAGCCTATTTAATTACAAAGAAAACAACAATATATTTTGTGATATGGTTCCTGTGGTACACTACCAAACGTAAGTCTGGATAATAACAGATTATAAAGGTATAAAGATAAGGCAAAGATGTAGAGCAACGTGTCGGAGGAGATAGGAATAAGAAAATGTCTACGACAGGTATGTATATTGTCCCCACTAATCTTTAATATATACTCGGAAATCATCGTCGCAGATACTCTTCAAAGGTAATAGCGCAGGAGTCATAATCAACGGCAAAACAATTATAATATAATACAGAGTGGCCCAAAAGTCTGGAAACGGCTAACTATCTCGTAAAATGCTAATCATAATTGTACAAAATTTGAGGTACATCTATTTTGGGATACGGAGATTCCATATTTGATATTTACAATGTTGCCAGATTTGCCGTTTTTCTTATATTATTAGTAACTTTGGTTTTTCAAATACGTCACCCTGTATATTCAGTCATTATTGGAATCTCCTATTCAATACGAGTTCAACCATATGTAACACTTATGATTTTATGTAATTTAGGTCATAAATACATAAAACCGAAGTCTGGCAACGCCTAAATTGTTTCAATAAATTTTTTAATACTAACTATTTTCAAATACATTAAAAACAATTGATAGGTCAGAACATTTTTTAACATAGTAGTTACGTTATTAAGTGTTCAAAATGTGCTCAATTTGTGAGTTGACAGCACCCTAATCGATGGTAGAAGGCGTCTACCACATTTCTCCATGATTGTCTAGAAATTATTCGAGATTCATTGATAATTCGTTGCCTTAGCTCTGCAAGACTTGCTGGTTAAGTTTTGTAAACTGAATTTTTCAAGTATCTCTAATAAAAATAATCTTTAGGATTGAAATCAGGTGAACGTGGAGGCCATTAAATTCTACCTTGTCTACCAATTTATCGTCCAGGAAATATCTCATCTAAATATCGCCGAACATTTACACCAACTATCTGACGTTAAATTTCTTTCGACAAAAAATGACCCAATTGAATAAGTAACTACTATATCTGACCATACATTTAATTTTTGTGGTCTTTGAGTATGGTTTTCACGCATTCAGTCTTTAGTGTGAATTTACGTCACACCAGTACCTTAAATTGTGTCGATTTACACTTCCACATAGTGTAAAAGTTGCTTCATCGGAAAAAACTTAATAATTTTCAATTTTATCCATCATTACCTCAGTAAACTCTAATCTACGACCAAAGTCATCTTCACTTAATTCTTGCAATAAGTTAATTTTGTATGATTTAAATATTTATTTTTACGTAATAAACGTAAGACTGAAGAATGACCTACATCATGTACTTGTGCAACCCTGCCTGGGGATGTATGTGGATCTTTTCTTATATCTGAAGTTTTGTTGTCCTTGATAACTCGTTTCGGTCAACCTGATCGGTATCTATCTTTTACTTCTCCAGATTCCTCAAATCGCCTTACAGTTTTTTTGACCGTCGTCTTATGAATAGGAGAGTTTAGAGAACGGCATTTTAGAGAAGCAATTTAAATTGCAGAACTTTTTAAACCACTATGAACTACTGTCAATTTTAGTTCATAATTTAAATGGCGAACAAATGTCAAAATCACAGCATTCTCCATTTAAATATTTAAATTTATTAAAATCTACATATTTTGCACTGTTTTATGTATTTAAGATCTTTCAGACTACATAAAATCAAGTGAACATATGGTTGAACTCTTATTGAATAGCTGAAGTCGTGTGAAATTCACACTGAATGCGTGAAAACCATACTCAAAGACCACAAAAATTAAATGTATGGTCAGTTATAGTAGGTACTTATTTAATTGGGCCATTTTTTATCGAAAGAAATTTAACGTCAGATAGTTGGTGTAAATGTTCGGCGTTATTTAGATGAGATATTTCCCGGACGATAAATTGGTAGACTAGGTAGAATTGAATGGCCAACACGTTCACCCGATCTCAATCCTAAAGATTATTTTTATTAGAGATACTTAAAAAATTCAGTTTACAAAACTTAACCAGCAAGTCTTGAAGCAATGAATTATCGATGAATCTCGAATAATTTCTAGACAATCATGTAGAAATGTGGTAGACGCATTCTACCATCGATTAGAGTGCTGTCAACTCACAAATGGAGCACATTTTGAACACTTAATAACGTAACTATTGTGTTAAAAATATTCTAAAACTATCAATTGTTACGTTTTAATGTATTTGAAAATAGTATTAAAAAATGTATTGAAACAATTTAGGCGTTGCCAGACTTCTGTTTTATGTATTTAAGACTTTCCAGACTACATAAAATCATAAGTGTTACATATGGTTGAAGTCGTATTTATTAGGAGATTCCAATAATGACTGAATATACAGGGTGATGCATTTGAAAAACCAAAGTTACTAGTAATATAAGAGAAACTGAAAATCTGGCAACATTGCAAATACCAAATATGGAATCTCCGTATCCCACAATAGGCGTATCTCAAATTTTGTATAATTATGTCTAGTAATTTACGAGATAAGTTAGCCGTTTCCAGACTTTTGGGCCACTCTGTATATGCCGATGAACGTCATTCTTACCAACAGGTTGCCAGAACTATTATCACTAAAGGAAAATTCTTGGATCAAGAATCTACGCCGTTGGCTCGGCGATAGAGATCTTCAGTGCCGCTATAAGAGGAAGTAAGGTACAAAGATAGTTTCAAGTTTCATATCTATTTGGATCGATAGAGGAATATTACTGGAAATAAAATATTGAAATTTATTGAGAAGACTCAGGTTATTTTAAATGCTAAGTACTAAGTCAATTACGACATCTATTATTCAACGAACTCAACGTTTATTATAATTTTAAAAATTGATTATTTGTCTTGCTTAGGCGCAGAAGCGAATCTTTCAATTTAACATAAGAAAAAGCAGTCATAAAATAGTGTGACGAATCCAGATATGTACCGAATACGGCCAATTGAACGATCTGTAGTTTCGGCATAAAACATAACTATCATACACTGACGATGTGTCACCACTGCGCTAATGATCTTCAACATCTTCTATGAGACTCTAAGTCGGTTGGAGGAATGACCTACTGGAATCTTCGATTATTGCCCTGAATTATCTCGAATTTTATATATAATGAAATAAAGAAATTGTAAAACTAGTAAATACTCGTAAATTTAACCGTGAGCTTCAATTCCAGTTACAATGGATATTTGTTTACTTTGTTCACTGAACTCAGTTACAACTGTCTAGTAAATTTGGTAATTAATTTTGTGCTATGCATGATAATATAATATAAATGATGAATATACATTTCCATTACTCATTATTATTCTTTTTCCAATCCAAGAAGTCTGCAACAGTTAATTTATCCAGCTATTAATACGGAGTGAATCTCATCATCATCATCACCAGTCCTTTGCGTACACTGCTGGACATAGGCCTGCCTCATTTTTGTCCATTGTGCTCTATCTTGTGCACTTTTCATCTAATTTTTTGACATTTTTTGAGATCGTCAGTCAAACGAGTAGGTTGTCTTCCTCTATTTCTTTTATCAAACCTTTAACCTCCACTAAAGAAATCTCTTCGTCCACATTTCATGACTGATTCGGTTGACGTGTCCGGTCCAGTTCCATTTCAGTGTGGCAATTCGGGAAATTACATCGGTAACTCCTGTTCTTCGTCTTAAGTATTCATTTCTAACTCGGTCACGAAGCGATATACTTAGCATTGATCTTTCCAATTTCCTCAGCTATTGCAGCGTTTTGGACCTTGTAGATGCCAATGTCAAAGTTTCGGAACCATAGGTCATCACAGGCAACACACATTGGTAAAATGTTTTGCGTTTTAAAGAAATTGGTAGGGGAACCCGGGATGGAACGGGGTACCTAAGTTTGATAGTAATTTGTGCGATATTTAATGAAACTACAGCATCAGTTGACAAATCCGGCAGCTGAGCAACATATCTCGGCTGTGACAGTGGTGCCTCTTTCAGCAGAACTTAAGACACCTACTTGACGTTCTTCTCTAACATCTATTATTTTCGAAAACTCCTTGGGGATTAATCTAATAGCCGTTTCATCACAGTTGACAATTCTAGTGGCATCTAATTCGTGCTTGTGGAGAATTTCATTAAGCAGATTAAAAAATTCGATAATGCTAATCTATTGAACCCCATAGCCCGTTCTCCAGAAAGTGACGTTGAAAAAATGTTTACTGGGCCATTTCGATGTTCTGTTGAAGTTATGCTTGCAGTTATTCTGTTCTGCTAGCTGGTATGCTAGTCGGCGAAACTCTTTCATAGTCATGCCAAACAGTTGTTTTTGCATATCTTTCGATAAACGAAGCTCAAAGCTCAAGCTCTTGCTCAATAGATAAAACAGTTTTATACTTTCCTGACGTTTTATCAATGACAGGGTCTGGATTCTGGATGATGGGACACTAAACCGATTAGACGCAGCCACATATCACATTTGTCCACTGATAACCGCATCTACACAGCTTGCTTCATAACATCAGTAGACCACGACTGTCGGGTGTTTTTTTTTTGTAGTTACGTACCAACTGCGATCAATAAAAAATATAATCAATACGAGAATTTCAAACGAGAAAATACGAGAAGACAAAATATTTATAATACTAAATATAATCGGGGGCGGAATGGGGTACATCCACCCATTGTGCCCAGACAACTGTTCCCAGAAATATTAGTGTTATAATATTAAACAGAAACATTACTACAGATTTAGAGAGCTAAAAGTATATTGAAACAAACATGTAAACTTAATTTCGAAAAAAAGAACAGTAAACAGTATAATTACCTTAGCGACACAACGAAAAAATTAGAATTTACAGTTTTCTTCTTTGATCTCCGATAAAACACCAACTATGCGTACTTCCAGACTGACAACGAGTACTTCATACGACTCGACGTGACGAACTAAGCTTTTTGTGTGATATTTGCCCGTCTATGTCGTTTGTAGGTAATATCACGTCGGTTTCCCATTCTGCCCCGGTACCTTGTGTTCCCCTATATCGCTTGTAAATATGTCTTTGAGTTTTCCATTTGCTGCCCATGCTAGGTTTATTATTTCTTCTTCGTAGTTCGCATGTTTTGTTGTCTATTGTGATCTTTATTTCGTATTCAAGAGATATGTATTTTTCCACCCTCTCTACTTCATTGTCTTCAATATTGATATTTCCGCTAGGTACTAGGTTTGTCATGCATTTTGTTTTGGAGATGTTTATTTTAAGACCCACACTGGCACACACTAAGTGAAGTTCATGTAGCATTGTACATATCTCCTTGAGGTTGTCTGAAAATAACACTATGTCGCCTGAAAATTTCAAATTTGTTAATCTTCTAACGTTAATGTTCAGGCCTTTCTCTTTCAGTTAAATTTTTTACAAGCATATTCTAGTACTGCGGTAAAAAGTTTAGGCAATAAGGTATTACCCTGTCGGACTCCTCTGCCGATTGCGATATGATCCGTGTTTTCATGTAGTTTCACCGACATAGTTGCGTTCTTGTATGCATTGTAAATTAACCTTGTATATCGGTAGTCAATGCGACAAGCTTGTAGCGCTTCCAGGATTTTGTCAAATTCTACCGGGTCAAAGGCTTTATGGAAAATTTGCAAAAGCCAGAACGAGTGGTCGATTGTATTCGATAGTCTTTTCTATTATCGTTTTAATGCTCTGTAGTTGATCATTTGTTCCGAATCCGGTACAAAATCCCGCTTGCTCTATTGGCTAGTAGAAATCAAGTTTTTTCTCAAGACGATTCGATACTATTCTTGTAAGGAGCTTGTAAAGGTAACTAAGCAGACTTATAGGTCTTTGGATTTCTAATTTCGGAATGGAGTGAACGTATATCCAATTAAATATTTAATACCAACCTACCTCTAATAGTATCATAACATCCCAAAAGATACCAAGTTTAAAAAGTTAAAACTTTCGAGCTATGGTACAGAAAATAATGTTACACATTCGTTGGATGGACAGAGTATAATGCTAGAATAAAGAGCTCATGATGCAAATTGATATAAATATCGCACTTGATGCTTTAAGAATCATCCTCAGAAGCGTCAGCAGTCTCAGTCGGGAGGACAAGTTAAACGAAATGTTTCTTCTTCTTCAAGTGCCGTCTTCGTTCCGAAGTTTGGCTATCATCAAAGCTATGCGTATTTTTGATGCTGCAGATCTAAACAGTTGCTAATTGGTGCAATTGTACCATTCTCTCAAGTTTTTCAACCATAATTGCCTTCTTCTTCCTATAGATCTCTTTCCCATTATCTTTCCCTGTATAATCAATTGCAGCAACTGGTATTTATCTCCCCTCATAACATGTCCCAAATATTGCTAAACGAAATGCTAAAAAGAAATAATTCCAGTGTAATAGGAAGAGAGTGTGGATGACATAGTTTAAGTAGAGGAGAGAGCATAACAGAGTGAAGAAGAGAGTGTAGTAAGATGATTGTGGAGATAGGGTAGAGAGGTGAGTAGAAGAAAGGGAGTATTGGAGAGAATGTTGATGAGGAGTGTAGTGAAGTGGAACTAGAGGAGAATGGCTCGAAGTAAGTGTGTAGGGAAGAAACTTTCGATGAGGTAGGCTAGAGTGGAGTAAAGGATTGTACATGAGAAGGTGCATAGGAGGGATTATAGAGAAGAGAGTGTAGAGGTAAGACGGTAAATGAGAGCATATACAAAGTGTTAACGCGAGAGTGCAGACGAGGGAGTGTAGAGGGTTGACATGTAGAGAAGATAGTAGTAGTGATAGTAGGGGGGAGGAGCGATCTGAGAGTATAGATGAAAGAGTATAAAGGGCAAAGCGTCGAGAGGTGGACTTAGAGAAGAGTGTAAAAAGAGTGTAAAGGGGACAAAGACTAAAGGAAAAATATTGAGGGTAGAGAACCTGCAGGAAGATGAAAGGTTTTAGGGTGAGAATGTAAAAGGACGGCGTGCAAGCGTAGGGAAGATCGTAAATAAGAAGAGAGGGTGCAGAGAAGGTTGTGTAATGAGATAGTGTACAGGGTATAGTGTGGACAAGAGTGTATAGATTAAGTGTGTAGTGAAGGAAGTGTAGGAGGGACTGTAGAGGAAAAAATATAGAGGAGATAATAGACCAAACATGAGGAGGAGAGAGTATAACAGAGCAGAGGGTTTAGAGGACAGCAAGAAGTACAGCGAAGCAGAAAGAGTCACAACTTTGTTCAAATCAAAACAAAAATTCTATTATAAACTCAACCTTATCTTTTTTAACATCCTTAAACGGATCAATTTATTTACAATAACAAAACATTAAATATAATTTACAAAATAATTTACAAAATAATAAATTATCGATCACTTATATTCCGTTTTCAACTTTTCCAAGTTGAATGTCTTCAAATACTTCAGCTTCGTACTGCTTCTCTGGCTTTTGACTTTCAGGATCCACAGAAGACGTTCTGGAGGTATTCCACGATTGGACTTCTCCAGATGCAAATATGTCATAGAAAGAACCTGATAGGATGTAGATACCTGCTGCTATACAGAAAACGAATGTCCATAATTGCTTTTGAGTCTAAAAATTACGAGAATTAAAATAATTATATCGTGTGCATAAAAATATTCATTTTTGCTATATATAGGTACTTCCAAAAGGGACTATAAATCAAAGTATTAAATATCTAGTTGTGTCGAGAAATAGTTTGTTTACCTCTTGGTATCCTGTTACGGCTATAATTGCGTCTACAACTAATGGAGAAATTAGGGAGAAAATATTCGACACGGAATTTGTCAAGGCCATCAAAGTTCCTGCATGGACTGGAGATATATCTAAGTGGTTGACGTTGTAGCCAGAATAAACAGCAGAGTTGAATCCTACTGCAATTGTTAACAATATAATAGCTGCAACTCTATTGTCACGGTCCACAAATGTTAGAGAGATCAGAGCCAAAGCTGGGATCCACAAGCCTAAAAAATATGAACAAAAAATATTTTAACCAATATAAGGTTGAATGTTCGAATAAATGAACTTTGATGGTACACAAGGCAAATATCGAACACAGTAATTAATCAAATCTTGCCCAAGTACTTTCGATCACAAGATCATCCTCAGGGGCATCTGAAATAAGCCAAGAAACGTTTTTTATAAAAAGGAAAATTAATTCACTTGGATAAAAACTCCAAGTTTATAGTTGAAAAAAGTTTTTTATGTGATTAACGTTTATAGACTTACTTCGCCAGTTGTGGCCTATCCAGCAGTAACAGAATGTCATAAATGTAAATTGGGACATAACAAATACACTAAACAAAGACAAACAAATACTTTAAAATTTAAAAATTGGAGAAGCTACATTTTATATAGAAGCCGGTGACAGAATGGCTCCCAGCCTGGCGGAGGCGGAAATATTGAGATGACATGTGACAAATGACAGCTTGTGAAGGGCAGTTACAATAGATAAGTGATCTGCGCCTTTCAAGATTCTATGAAACTAAGTATTGACCAAAGGTCCAACTGACACCACTATAGGAAATCAACTGAAGAAATATAAAATTATATCTAATATTTTTATGTAGATTAAATAATCCAGATCTCACACTTAAACCTGTCTATAATAATTAGGATGTTAGTTTGAGAGCAATTAAAGTTGACATAAAGTATGAATGTAAGAAATAGACTAAACAATATATTAGACAGTGGATAGTTGACTACAATAAAATGGTCCACTAAGCGCTATCAGTACTGTAAAAAGAAAATCTGAATATTCAGTTGAATTGCTAAAAATTAAAATCAAAATTAAAAGCAAAATATATAAATGGGTTATAATCCAAGTAGTTCAGTTGAATCCACAGTCAATGGAAGAACTTTCAAATTAATATGTAAATACTCAGTGCATGAAGTCTAAACAGTCGAGCTGAGCCCTCCAGGGGAGGAAAGATATTTCTCCTTCACTTATATTAGCAGCATTTCCAATAAAATATCTAAACTTTTTACTTCTACAATTGATAACATCAAAATCTCCTTTAAATCACATAACACTTTAAACTCCTTCTTAATCAATACCAAAGATAGGATGAATACACTTGATAAAAGTGGTATTTACAAATTAAAATGTGATGATTGTGATGCCTCTTATGTAGGTAGAACCATCAGAAAGTTATCCACTAGAGTCTCTGAACATTTGAAAAGACCAAACTTTTCAAGTTTTGGTCAACACTTAGTATCCAGCAACCACAATTTTAACATCAATTCTGGTTCATCTATCTTACATGACATTAGTAGAAAGAAAAACTATCTTGAGTTGGATTTATTGGAAGATTTGGAGATTACAAGGGAAACAAATAAAAACCTCTCAGTCTTAATACTCAAATTAATTTAAATTGTACTAAATTTATTCCTATATTTAAAAACGTTATTACAGCTCCATCTCGTAGAGGGCCCAGCTCGACTGTTTAGACTTCATGCACTGAGTATTTACATATTAATTTGAAAGTTCTTCCATTGACTGTGGATTCAACTGAACTACTTGGATTATAACCCATTTATATATTTTGCTTTTAATTTTGATTTGAATTTTTAGCAATTCAACTGAATATTCAGATTTTCTTTTTACAGTACTGATAGCGCTTAGTGGACCATTTTATTGTAGTCAACTATCCACTGTCTAATATATTGTTTAGTCTATTTCTTACATTCATACTTTATGTCAACTTCAATTGCTCTCAAACTAACATCCTAATTATTATAGACAGGTTTGAGTGTGAGATCTGGATTATTCAATCTACATAAAAATATTAGATATAATTTTATATTTCTTCAGTTGATTTCCTATAGTGGTGTCAGTTGGACCTTTGGTCAATACTTAGTTTCATAGAATCTTGAAAGGCGCAGATCACTTATCTATTGTAACTGCCCTTCACAAGCTGTCATTTGTCACATGTCATCTCAATATTTCCGCCTCCGCCAGGCTGGGAGCCATTCTGTCTCCGGCTTCTATATAAAATGTAGCTTCTCCAATTTTTAAATTTTAAAGTGTTTGTTTGTCTTTGTTTAGTGTATTTGTTATGTCCCAATTTACATTTATGACATTCTGTTACTGCTGGATAGGCCACAACTGACGAAGGAAGTCTATAAACGTTAATCATATAAAAAACTTTTTTCAACTATAAACTTGGAGTTTTTATCCAAGTGAATTAATTTTCCTTTTTATAAAAAAACGTTTCTTGGCTTATTTCAGATGCCCCTGAGGATGATCTTGTGATCGAAAGTACTTGGGCAAGATTTGATTAATTACTGTGTTCGATATTTGCCTTGTGTACCATCAAAGTAAAAAATATTTTAGCATTTGTTTATTTATAAATATCACAAAGATTAAGGATAAAAACAGCGAATTACTTTCATTATTTTTATTTAGATTTAATCTTTAAACGAATGTTTAATCGGCAAGCTGGCTAGATCAAACTGAAGAATGTTTGACTATTACGCAGAAGCCCGAGTTCTATACCTTGTGTTGACGCTAGATAACGGGCATCTTCTTCTTGATAACGGGTTCTTTAACCAAGATGTTCTTTTTCTTCCTAGACTTTGTTTTCCAAATATTTTTCCTTGCAGGATGGCTTGAAGGAGAGCATATCTGGATTCATTTCGCATATGTCCGAAAAATTGTAACTTTCGAGAATTGATGGTGGTCAGTACCTCTCGCTTCTTACTCATTCTTCTGAGGACCTTCTCATTTGTGACTTGGTCAGTCCACGGGAAGTTAAGCATTCTCCGATATAGCCACATCTCAAATGCTTCCAGTTGTCTGCACATATCTCCGTTCAAGGTCCACGATTCACGAACACCATAAAAAAGGACAGAGAAGACGTAGCATCTCAGCATTCTTAATTTTGTATTTAGGGAGAGGTTGTGACTCTTGAAGAAGGCCCCCATTCGATTGAAGGTGGATCTAGCTTTTCCGATACGTGCTCTAATCTCCTGGTTGTTGGTCCATTCTTCATTTATTATGATGCCGAGGTAGTTGTAGTGCGTCACTCTTTCTACAGGGATTGGTTGACGTAAAGGTGACCTTCTGATATCCTTTTCTTCATTATTTTTGTTCATAAGAACTGTTCATAAGGTCTTCTAAGTTGTCCGCAAATACTATGATGTCATCTGCATATCTGATGTTGTTTAGCCGGTAAGAATTTAGTAGAATACCTTTTTCAGTTTCGTGCAAAGCTTTGATAAAATATTCTTTCAGAGTACAGATTGAAGATTAGGGGAGACAAAATAAAGCTTGCCTTACTCCACGCATGCTTTTCACATAGTCAATGTGTTCAACTTCCACTCTGAGATTTGCTGTCTGATTCTAGTAAAGATTTCTAATTATTTTCATATCTTGGTTGATAATTCCTGTTTCTTTTAGTATTTGCATTATCTTGGCGTGCTGTACTCGATCAAACGCTTTTTCGTAATCAACGGGCATATCACTAGCTTATTATCCACTCTTCTGTAAACTGCACTTGCGGTATAAAGGGAGACAAGGAAGACAGTAATATAATTGTTTAATACACTTAGTTTATTTCGTAGCATTCTTCTTGCAGCCTTACTATTTACTCGACTGACCAGGGAACATCATTCTTAGAGATCATTCCTTATCTACCTGTTGGATATCTCAGTCAAGTAGGGTACACTTGAATTTTGCTACACTATACTATCTTTGAGGAAACAAAATAGGTAGCTACTCTTAGTATATCTCTCCTAGATAGCACTCTCCTGCTAGATAGAAACTTCTTCTAGTTTCTTAGCATCTTTCTCTTCAAGTCACGAGGCATCTTCGTATTGGCCTGTGGAACTACCTATTGAAATATATGCCGTTACTGCTAGCCAAGGTCGTCGTAATGATCAGTCCATAATATTGAAATTTAGCAACAGTTGATAGAAGGCCTTTGAAAATATCTGTTTGTGTTTATATTATGCATTCTGCTGACGGAGCGTTAAAAACTTTTGACACTTTTGATATTTGACAAAGCAAAAAGATGGTGCTAAAAGGAGTTATCCCATGAGAAATGAGTTAATTATAAATAGTCAGCAACACAACAAGATGAATAGCTTCAAATTTATGTGATAGTGGATTATTGTATTTTTAGTGAAAATTTTAAGTGTAAGTTAAAGTTATTATCTTCTGAAATGGAAGTGGACTTAAGATGAAAATAAAATTTATTTGTATCTCCTGAAATGGTGGAGAAATCAAATTCCCCACCAACAACAAGGTCCAACATTAAAGAAAAAAATATTAAAACTTAATGTCTTTTATGTAGTTTGGCTTTTTTTTATGTCCTTCATCCTGGTATTTCATTGGAAGTCTGCCCCAAGACAAATGTCTGGATTCGCCACTAAATGACTGACACATTATATGTCTTGGTCACTTCTTTACTAGCAAACAGAATGTAAGAATAACCGGGCAATAACTTACCTATCGTGTTGAATATTTTCCTACTCTGTCCCACGTTGGCATATTTCTTAATTATTATAAAGTCTGCTATAGGGCTCATGAACAGACTCAATATCCAATTCGTTAAGTAAGGCAACGAAGAAAGTGTGCTATTCTAAAAATAACAGACATTTTATAATCATAAATGTATATTAAAATATAACTAAAGAAGAGTACTCTAAAAGTACACGAAAGACAATATAGCCAATATAATTCATTATAATATTTCGCTACAATATGAAATACGAAGTAAGATCAGGTTAAAATTAAGGTACCTAGTTGATATTGAAGCAGCTATGTTTTTGTTGCAGCTCCGAAAAAAAAACCGTGGATTTGAAGAGCTTTAACAAAAACATGGCTATTTAATAGGCAAAAAAGGTTAAAGCATTAGTATAAGTCTTTTACAACAAGCTATTGCGCAACTAAAATTACGTTGGCCCATTTTGAAGACAGTTAAGTCAATTTGTTGCCTGGGCCCATTAGATATCCCGAAATTACACCCATTGAACACGGGGCATTATCCGTTTACGCCATTCTCCACAGACTCTAGCGGCACAAAATACAAGTAGACTGTGATGGGGTATCTCAAGAGGAATTATCGATTATGTCATTAGAGTATGCCCAGATGTATTTTTGAGTGCTGAAGACATCGTAGAAATCCAATACATTATTCATTTTTTATATTGTTTTCAACAGTTGGATTTTTCTGAAATTTTGAGCAATATTGCTTACCTAGCTCTATATACTCTACTAACTCTATACACGCTAATAGAATACACGCTAAGCTGGAGATGGATATTCGTTTGGATTCCCAGTTTGGATTTCGGAATGAAATGGGCACAAGAGAGGCACTATTTTCTTTTAACGTGCTGACCCAAAGATGTTTGGATGTTAATCGAGATCTTTATGTATGCTTTATAGACTACAACAAGGCATTCGATAAAGTAAAACATGACCGACTTATAGAAGTACTCAAAAACAACAATCTGGATGTGAGGGATGTTACATTGATATCAAATTTATACTATAGCCAACGATCGAATGTGAAAATTGGAAGAGAAGTGTCAGAAGAAGTGGAGATAAGGAGAAGGGTCAGGCAAGGTTGCATATTGTCGCCGTTATTGTTTAATGCTTATTCTGAATAAATCATACAAGAAGCTTTTGTTAACGAGACAGTCGGCATAAAAGTGAACGGAAGTTTAATTAACAACATTAGGTTAGTCGACGATATTGTCATAATAGCCGACAACTTGAAAGATTTAGAAATAATGATGAACAAAATATTAAGATATAGTGGAGAATACGGACTCTCTCTTAACATCAAAAAAACCAAATTCATGAAAATTGGCAAGAACAACAATACAAATGAAATACAAACGGTAGGCGGCCAGCATATTGATCTATATGCAGTACCCACTATTTAAAAAAATATTATTCTTACCGACTTCAGGTCGAAATTTAGAATGTGATTCATATACGAAGGAATTTCTGTGAGAAGAGTCCAGAAGCCGAAGTTTTGGCCGCAGTGTGAGATTAAAATCGCCCAAACTGGTAGAGACGTCAAAATCGCTTTCCATGGAGTGGGTTCTACCTGAAATACAAAATATTTGTTAGAAATTCTAAAATTATTGTAACATAGTGGTTAATTTTAAATATTGTATATACTATAAATATGAGATCTTTCTGACTAGTGCAGTCATTGAAGCATTATTGCTCCGAATTTTTTTACTGTAAACCGAATTGCATACAATTTCGGAATCAGGTTCATCTTACCCTTAACTTCAAAAGTGAAAACGATTTGAACTCCGCAACCACCCCCAGGGTGGTTGCCACCCCTTCTCGGGGGTGATTTTTGTTCAAAATAACCTCGGATATCGATAGAAGGCCCAATTTTAAGCAAAAAATCATCTATAAAGTTTTTCGAAAAATCTAATTCTTTTCAAGTTAATGGCAATTGAAAATTCGCAATTTTTTCATGTTTTTCATCGGTTTTTTGCAAATATCTCCAAAAATATACGTTTTATCGAAAATTTTATAAAAAACAAAATTGTAGCAGGTAAAAAATGAACAATTTGGTTTTTTATAAAGTATTCTAACTGCAATATTAAGCTAGATATTAAAGTTCAAAGTTTTTTATTTTGTCTGAAATTTAATCGACGTGGCCAATGCCATCTAGCGGCGAGCAGATGCATTTTGGTCATTCTAATAAAAAAGGATTTTGTAGTGCTTGAAATAAGCTTTAAAATGAGCACAATTAAGTCTTTTGCACATAAAATAAGTGAGCTGTATTGCAAATAAGAGGAGCATCTAATGTTTTTTCTTTTACATCAATAGGTTTCATAAGTGCCATTTCCACCAAAATTAAAATTAATCGTATTCGAGTTACGGTTGTATCAGTTTGGCTGCTTCAGGACACATATTTTTCAAAAATGGCACGATTAAAAAAATTCAAATTAAAAAAAACACACATTTTTTTCATAATATATCAAACATGACGACAGATGATAAAAAATTTAGGTATTTTTCTAAAAAACAATTTGGTTTTTTTTGTTTTTTCTGTCAAACAAAAATTGACGGAGATATGATTGTTTAAAGAGCGCGTGGCACCGCAATCACAGCCTCTTTTAGGCCCTTTAACCACTCACCGTTTTAGAAAAAGGTTTTTTTTTTCTAAAACAACACTGTTGTAATGTATATATATATATATATATATAATATATATATATATATTATATAAATATATATATATATACTATATATACATAATATGGCTCATATATTTTGGAAACGTAGGCATGAATGGAGGAATCACTATAGGAGGCAGAAAAATCAGTAACCTGCGATACGCAGATGACACATTTATACTAGCAGCGAATGAAGTCGAAATGATTACCATCATCGAACGGCTAAGCCGAATAAGTGAAGAATTCGGACTTCAAATCAACACCAGAAAACAAAAATAATGATTGTAGACAGAGCAAATAATAATCTACCGCATATACGCCAAATAGGGATTTTCGAAGTAGTCGACAGATTTGTATACTTGGGCTCTCTGATAACCAACAATGGTGATTGTTCCTCAGAAATCAAACGTAGGCTAGGAATGGCCCGAACCGCAACTGCTAAATTAATTAAAATATGGAAAGACCGAACAATAACAAGGAATACTAAGCTTAGGTTGGTCAATGCCCTTATTTTTCCCATTGCTACATATGCAGCTGAAACATGGACTCTCAGAAAAATCGATAGGAGTAAGATCGAAGCCTTCGAAATGTGGGTATATAGAATAATTCTACGCGTGTCCTGGACAGAACATAGAACCAACCTGTCAATTCTGGAAGAGCTTCATATAAAAGACAGGCTACTAAAAAAAGTAAACCAAGCATACCTAACTTACTTCGGCCACATAGCTAGAAGAACGGGCAGCATGGAACTATTGGTAGTAGAAGGTAAGGTAGAAGGCCGAAGACCAAGAGGAAGATCTCCAATACGATGGGTGGACCAAATGAAGAGTTTGGTGGGAAAATCACTACATGAAGCCGTCCATATGGCACAAGATCGCAGTCAATGGAGACAGCAGACTAATAATATTTAGGGTGTCACTACGCCCTGACAAGGGCTAAAGGATTGAGGAGGAGGCATGAATACATACCAATGTTCTTATATGTATATATAACACATTTGAGTGAGGGGGCCAAGGGTTAAATATGTAATCATATATATTTACTGTTTTAATTTAGCGGCAGTTTTTAAGGGTAGAAAAGCTTAAGAATATGATAATGATTTTTCGAGAGTGTGGAATATTATTTAAATCCTTTTCATTTTATCAAAAACAATTTTTTAACAATTTTTTATCCAGGGGTAGTTTTTGAGAGTTGAAATGGGGTTAAAAATTTGATAATTATTATAGAGAATATAAAATATTGCTTACTCTATACTTACATTGTTTTATGTCATACCAAAGTATTTTTGTGAGTTTTTCAATTTAGGGGTTGTTTGCAAGGGCTGTAAGATTTTCAAGGGGTTGAAAATGATTTTCATATGAGGTAATTTAGTTAGAAAACACTTTACAATTTCACCACTTACTATTAGACATGTTTTCTAGCGATAAAATGGCTCAATGTCAATTTTTCCATTAAGGGGTTGTTCACACCCCTTAAAAATATTAGGCGGAGTTCAGATCATTTTCACTTTTGAAGTTAAGGGTAAGATGAGTATAATTTCAAAATTTCATGAAAATCGATTCACAGTAAAAAAATTCGGAGGTAAGACCATATTTTTCGCTTCAATGACTGCACTAGACTACACGATCAAGGATCTGTTTCAGTATCCGCAAGGACACTATAGTCAACAAAGTAAAGCCTCTAATAAATTATTTCAACACTTAAAAGAATAGAAGAAGACGGCAAAATTAAAAAAAAGAAAACAAATATGAAAACAAAGAATAAAATATATATTGTAATAAATGACTTCTATCTATAAATATATTGTACAAATTTTGCAGGAGTATGGCAAGATAAATTATCCAATCTACAGTTGGATTGCATTATAATCAAGGTAAGTTTGAGAAACTCAAAAAAGGTGCTACACTAGGCGGCACTGTGGACTAGCGAGAAGCTTCATACTATGTTTTCTGTGTATTTTCAAAATTTACAATGGGTGATCAAATTATTATGGTCAGTCACAAAAGTTTAAGTTTTTCAAATTTGTTTAAAATTTTTATAATAAAATCATATGCAGCTATACGATTAAGGTATGCCAATATATTTTGTCACTGATAACCTTACTTTTTGACGTTTACAGCTCTAGAACTGTCATCTGTGTCAAATTACGTGACAACATACACATTGGGGTGAATTTGCGCTTGGAGTTTACAACTGAATTTGTATGTTTTTGTATTGTTTTTGAAGGATTAGTATCGTTTTATCTTTGTAGTATGTTTTATTAAGGTATTAGTGGTGATTTTGAAAAAATCTATCAGTTTTAATTTAAAGACATTTTCAAAACATTTCGATTTTTGACAAGAAATCATATTGGGTAAGATTAAAGACGTCCCTGTGTCTAAAATGGCGGAGATAAAGATACTTTTATTGAATACAAAGCTTTCCCAACGTCAAATGGCTCAACAATGGCAAGTAGCGTAAGCAACAGTGAGCAATATCAAGAAAACATTGATACCAACAAACCCCTGACTCACCAGCATGCCCAAAAATCTGGTCGAAAGCGTGTCACTACACCCAGAGACGAAATAAAAATGAGGGATATCTTTGTAAACAATAGAAAAAAGCCAAGAAGAAACCTCACGGGACTTATTCGTGAAGCTGGGATGCCGGTTTCTGACATGTCAGTCCGCAGGAAGGCTTGCTGAGCAAGGTTTCAAATCATGTCGCCCTGCCAAAAAACCAAAGTTGACCATCGCAATGATGAAAAAGAGACTGGAATGGGCCAAAGAAAACCAAAATTGGACAATTGAGGATTGGAATAAGGTATAATTATATAAATAAAATTAGTTTACGGAAATATCTTGTAGTTTTTTTTATTTACAAGTTTGTTTTCTCGACGAGTTTACAGTGGAGATACTCAAGGATAAGTCGGCCTTCGTCCGAAAGCGAGTGGATGGAAAATATCACAATGATTGCATAGTGAAGCCTCCCCTTAGATCATGGTATGGTATGTGATCAGCAGTAAGGGTACAGGGAGACTGTACATTGTTAATGAAATGATGAATCAACATCAGTATATTGAAGTTCTGGAAAGAAAGCTCATGCCACAAATCAAAGACTGGTTTGGCGATTTGGAGGATTTTACATTTATGTACTATTCAGCATCGTGCCATAAGGCAAAAACAGTAACATCGTACCTGAAAAAAAAAAAAGAAAATTAAAATACTGAAGAGGCCAGGAAATTCCCCAGACCTTAATCCGATCGAAAATCTATGGGAGCTTATGCAGAGGGGGATTGCCCAGGAAACTGTCACAAATAAGCAGCAGTTAATTGAGAGACTCATTGCAACCTGGCACAGAAACGATAAAATAAAAAAAGACTGCCTGAAGAATATTCAAAGCATGACAAGGAGGATCAAAGCTGTCATCGAAGCTAAAAGAGGTCACACAAAATATTAAAAAAGATGTTTATGGCCAAAGAAAAAAATATTTTAAAATTTTGTAAAAGAACGTGTTTATGATCTATTTTTATATTATATTCACATCATTAAACGCTTATATGCAGTTTTATTCTTTATTAAACAGCGAAATACAAAGTTTTTTGAAGTGATCATAATAATTTGATCACCTACTGTAAATATTTTTAAAATTCAAGAAAATAATTTAATCATTATTCTTTTTTTTAGATTTTAATGAAATTAAAAAAGTTTACATGTTGCATAACGGGCACTCCCCGTTGCGAAAATGGACTTTTCCAACTGTTAACTGCGACTGCCAACCACGAACCACGAAAAAATAATTCAACGCCAGCTTAGAAGCTTCTCTTCAATAAATAAACTCATTTACCTTTTCATCTTTGTCTCGTGGATCCATATTTTGTTCGATGTATTGTACTTCCTCCTCAGATATCGACTTGTGTTTAGAAGGAGAGTCTGATCCGATAATACACCACACCACTGACCAAGCTATACCCAAGGCTCCAAACAAGTAGAAAACTGTTGGCCAGCCCAAGTGTGAGTTCGATATGAAGCCCGCTATTGGCATGGAAATGACATTTCCCAATGGACCACCTAAAGAAAGAAATATTTGGTTGGTGATTGGTAGAGGTACACCTTATAAAACATTTTGTATAACAGCGTAATCAAAGAATATAGACGCATATGCGTCTATATTCTTTGGTATAATGTAACTGTAATGTTTGTATGGGAAACTAAAGCTGTTGCTTCTACCATTTTCCTTATAATTTTATCATATTTTCATCATCATATTATTTCACCATGTTGAATGTCAATCTTATATCAATTGATTTTGTGAAAAAAGGATTGTTAGTTAAATTTGTGCTGAATATTAATTCGTAGTTGAGACAAAAAACTATCAAAAATAAATAAAACATGACATTGAGAAATATATTATGTGTTTTGTTTACATCGTAAAATATTTGTTATTTGTTTGTTATGTATACACAGTTGACCACTGAGACCATATCCAATGCTCACAGATATAAGATCATATAACACATATCTATTTGTGTTATCTTTTTCTATAAACACAAAATATTATAATAGTGATACAGTCTAAACGTTGTTTTGACTTCCAAATTTTTGATTTGATTAAGTTATCAAAACAATAAACTTTGTGATTTGGTAATGCAGCTTTACGTTACTATTTGACGTCATGACAGTGACCTTTAAACGCTTTTACATTTAAATATTTATTTTAGGAAAACTGATAATATTTACCTGCATAAACAAAAGTTCCAAATTTAGCCCTATCTTGCAACGGTGTCCACGAGCTCAATAGGCAGTGGATGCTTGGAAAGAGGAAACCCTGAGTCAATCCAGTGACGATTCTACACAATATGACACCACCGTACCCCATCCAAGCTCCAAGTACAGGAATCATGCAACAAAACAGACAGCCTATAAAAATGGCTCCTCCTAGGAACCATTTCGGACCATAATGTTTGATTAGCACACCCGCAAAAATCTGCAAACATACGTATCCCCAGAAGAATGAAGATAACATTATGTTCTTGTAAGGTAGCCATTCTGGATAAGTCTGAAATACAATTAAAAATTGGTTAATATATAAAAACCGCTCCTCCATTTAATTTAATAATGGATAAATTTATCAACAAAGGAAGGCAAATAAAACATATCGAACCTAATGCGGTGTAATATACCGCATTATATATATATATATATATATATATATATATATATATATATATATATATATATATATACTCTGCAGAACGACTACTAGTAATTTGTTTCTTTGTGATATTCTGACGATTTTGCACGTTATTTTCATCGTCATTGTCATTCTCTTTTTCATTATCATATTCCTGGTTCTCTATATTGTCTTCCATATCTCTCACGCTCACTTCTTCTGAAAAAATAGTTTCTGAAATATGTACAACTTCATCATCATCACTGTCGGATTCTAGAACGGAATCTTTAGAGTCATATCTTCAAATGTCTCTAATTTGAACATTATTTAGTTCTTTCTTGCTATAAAACGATTTTACACAAATATGATATTTTTTATGTTTTATCAAATATGTTACACATTTTTTACTCAAAAAATACCTAATATTTTATTACCAGAGCATATATTTGCTACAATAATTGTCAGAATGTATTTACGATCAAAGTTATCTATTACAAGCTGAAAATTAGAAAGGTTCACTGATTGGTGCAATCTAGTTTAAAAGGTAAGTATGAAAGACTTCTTATATTTGATATAGGTACGAAGAGGAAATATTGTTTATTCCGTCTTACCTAGCAGGTCTATCTGACGAGCTAAAAACAGTGAAATACATGTCATAGAATGGCATGTTTACCGGGATGTGAATATTCCCTTTCGTATATTATTTACAAATTAGAAAGGTATTGACAAAAAAGGAAACAAATAGTGTAGCAGAAAAATGGTCCATCAAATTTTTTAAAACTTGTCAGAGAAAGTTGAAACTCCATTTTGACAAACTTTGCGAAGATGGGCAAAGTAGCTATGTTTAAGTAAATCGCAAGCGTAAATAAGTGCCATCTTGTGGTATGCGTGTTGCAATTTTCTTGATATCTTTAAACACTTTTTTTGCTTAATCTATATCTCACTATTTTTCAGCATGACATTTTGTGTGAAGAAATATGATCGTATGGATTACTTTTGAATTATATAATTGAGGGCGTGAGAGTGGAAAGTCCGCAAAACAATTTAAAAATTGTACAGGAGACCAAAAACCTGGATATTATCAACAAATATTAAAATTCGTCACGGTGTGTTTGTTTTAACTTTCTAGCTATCAGCACTGAATTAGTTAATAGACAGATAAGATTCAAATGATTTTTCAATTTTATTAAAAACATTTTTGACAAAAATGGATATAATAGTATATAATAGTACATATTCTACACAAATATCATTAACATTTTTTTAGTTTTACAAAGCTTCATCGGCAGGTTCATAATTAGATAAGTCACTAATATTTTAAAAGAATCAAATTAATCTCTGTAGTGGGGAAAACAAGACCTAATGTTGATTTTAAAGCTTTACTTACCGGTATACTTTTATCCGGGGGATCCTCTGCTGTCATGGCAAAAATCGCAATACTCAGTATTGATCTGACAGCATAACATATATTAACAACTACGAAAAGCATTACATATTGAATGTGTCGAACTCCAAGCCAGCTGCCTGCAAAGAATAAAATAGTTAGTAATATATCACGAAAGTTTTGAAAAAAGTTTTAGCACAGATCAGAGGGAATGTAAGTCGATAAAATTTCACCAGCTCCACCAGTTGTAGTTTTTATTAATTACCGAAGTTAACGGTCTATTGCATTTACCTTTGTAAATTCCACGAGGATTGTTTTTGTTACTGATGTCCTTCTAGTGTTTTTCTGTTTTAACAACTTTTTATTAAACTGATGATGGAATGATTTAATTGCGAAAAGATCTTCTTGAAAATAAAGTTTTAAGCTTTTAATAAGCATTTTTATACCTTGATACACACGCACACCACGTGCTTTGTATAAATATAGAAAAGGTAGAACAATATATATATATATATATATATATATATATATATATATATATATATATTATATATATATACAATATATATATGTATATATATATAAATATAATATATATTATATATTAAAAGAACATGCAATTAAAAAAGGAAAAGGAAAATCAAACCCTAGAAATTAAAAGGACACAATTGTTATGGGCATGCTTTGGTAAGTTGAGCTTCATTTTGAAAGACAGAAAAATCCCAATACGTTCATGATCCCAATACACTTAAAACCGAAAACCCACGATACTTGTATACTACCAGTTGCAACTTACGAATTGGAAACTATGGCAATAACAAGAAAAATGGCAGAACAATTTAGAAATGGCGAAGAGTAACTCAACGGGCCATGGAGAGGGCCATGTTAAATATAAGCCTCAGAGACAAAATTCCTGATTTTGAAAACACCGAAATATAATACATCCCAATATTCCTAATACATTTTAAAATTTTTATTAACCGTTAAAATTATTTTGCTTTAATAAGAACTTTAATGTAAATTTGATAAAAGAAGAATTGTTGTACCTAACAATACTTAGAACAAAATCACCCAAAATCACATAAATAAAAGTACTGTTAAAAAATTATATGACTTAGAGCCTACAGAAAACATCACATTTTTAGTCAGTAAAACAATCATTGCAGTTTTCTTTCATATGGTTTTTGCATGCAAACGCTCCGCACTTCACACAAAACTTTCTAAAAGATTTGTTCAAATTTCGAGAACAAACATGGCAACGCCCAACATAATTTTTGTGTTCGCACAGGGGGTTGAGGGGGATTATTTTCTATGCCCAGCAGAGATTGAGCTCGCTTCCTCATTTCTCTTGGCAACTTAGGAATTGTTGATTTAACTTCAATTTGTGGTCTGACTAATTCCCAAGCACACTCTTCAAGAAAGTCACTGCGTTTTATTTTCTATTTGGAATAATTAGCCTTACATAATAGAATAATTAGCATTACACACACAGAGGGCGTTTATGCCAGAAATATTCAATAAAACACAACCTTTGGCCAACGGCGTGCATTTCTTGCGACGTTATAATTCTGACACAATTGATCTACCATATCCACGCCGATTTTGGTATTGTTATAATCAGTGATCATTACTGACTTTCTATCATCTCCAGTATCTTCATCTATAGAATCATCATTGTGCATGGAGGATATCAATACCACCGACTTACTTTTCTTTGGGACGTATGACACCATAGTACAATCAGCTTGGAAAACAAAAAGAAACGACTTAACTTCTCGATTTTTCTGGGGCATAAACTCACCTGTCTTCTTTTATGATCAGACATAGTATTATGTAAAATATATTACAGTAACTACAAGTGTACCAAATGGTAATAAATAAAAGTTATCTTGAATTTTCAAAACAATAGAATCAAATATCTGCAATATAGCCAGATGTTGTAACGTCAGTGGATACGTGGTCTACAATCGTAGACCAGTACTATTCTATGCTTGACAGAATACTCAACTGAAGTGCTGAACACAAATAAAACCATACATTAGAATAAGACGCCCGTTAGCAACAGCTACTGAGATGCACGCGCATATAAGAGAAAATGACAAAGATATACAAGTGTTTGAAAAGAGATGGTCTACGATTGTAGACCACGTGCCTAACGGAGGGTTAAAATGTCACAAAAAAATAGCTTCAGACGTTAGGGTTGCCATATCTTAGCCAAGGGAAATCCATATTTAAAGTGCTGAAAACTCGTCTTCATTCATCGCATCCCAGGTAGGATTAGTTAGTGTCATCATGTATTTAAAACCTTGCTTACTATTTAAAGACAGTAGGAACTTGCCATAGATACTGACTCTAAGCGTGCGTTCATAATGAGGCGCCGACTCTCGCTCGGGCCATGGGATGGTATCATTTAATCGATTTTCGGTAAAATAAATGCATTACTTTAAATGCGAGCGTTCACCGTCAGTGCTATGCTCTAGGCGAGGATACGATGTCATGGTCTCCGTTATGAACGCACCCTTAGACCCGTTCCAACCCGGGCTCGGGACCGGCAATGGCAAATAAATAGTAAATTTTTATTTAAATCCGCTTAAAATGCGTTTATTTTTAGATCTGTCGTAGTTTGCAAAAAATGTTAATAGAAATTCATTTTTCAATTCTAATTAGCAAATTAATTTATCATATTCAGTTATATTGTTGTGATTTTCCCACGTCAAGTGCATCTCAACCTGCTAACCCAAGCGTGAATTGGTCAAGGCAGTTATAGCACCGATTTAAACTTGAACTCGAAAAACAATTAACGCATAGTTTGAAGTATTAATAATATATTTTTTCTACTGTGAAATTTATGTGCGTCACTATTCTGAATAAATAATATTTATATTTTTATGGTATACTATTTTTTGTACTGCCAACAATATAAAAATTTATTGATGTAGGTATTAGGTAAAATACCTGTCCCACAAAAATTTACTTTTGTCTTAGAGCACTAACCGATTATTGGTATTGGAAGATCATACTGGTTTTACGTGTCATTAATATGCGATTCTGCAAATTATTTCTTTTATTACCATATTTATTACATAGGCAATGAACACTAATAAAGAAAATTCGTTATGTGTCAAACCCTTGTTGAAAACCATACCTCATTCTTCCTTGTTGAAAACCATACCTTATTCTTCTTCTTAACGTGCCCTATCAAGTCCCCTTGACGTTGGCGATTAACATGGCGAAACTGTCTCTGTCTCGAGCTATTCTAAATAGTTGCTCAGCTTTCTTTATTCCTGAGCTTATCTCCCATACCTTATAGAGAAGCATTTTGAATCTTTATTTATATGCCGATAAACTGTAGACTGAAGTTTATTTCGGGCACCAGCAAGAACCATTACTACTTGACTTGACAATGGTAAGCACGGATCTTGCCGAAACGTCGTCAAAACATGGCATTTCTCAAAACCAAAATTCAAGGTTAAGACAAACTCGGAAAACTACAGAAAGAACGTATAGATCTTGGGGAAATTTATATATTTAACTATATGTATTATAGATTTGGTCCGGGCATCCAGAAGTTGAAAGATAAAAGCACAACAGACGAAGTCAAAGAGGAAATCAAGAACAAAGTAAACAGCATGGTAATGTCAGATATTATTCAAGAAAACATAAGTGCGGATGATATGTAGAATAAAATCAAAAATATCTGTAATTCAGTGGTAGATAATAAACTTAAACCTGAAAACAATATAAAGAAACAGCCATGGATGAGACACGAAATATTAGAGCTAATGAAAGAACGAAGAAAACACAGAAATAAGAATGAGAAAAAATACAAAGATATAAACAAAATCATTAATAAAAAGATTAAAAAAGCAAAAGAATCATGGCTACAAGATCAATGAATACAAATAGAATCCCTAGAACAGAAGCATGACACTTTTAACCTACATAAAAAGATCAAACACTTAACGGGAGGAAATGGATCACGAAGTAATAACTGAATACTAGACGAGCACAACAATTTGCTCTACGAAACTGATATAATACTTGAGAGATGGAGGCAATACATGGAAGAATTATTCAACGAAGAGCAAGAGACAGAAGCCAGTGTTTCTGGATGTTCAGGACCAGAAATAACGCTCAGTGAAGTAACATATACAATAAAAAGACTAAAAACGAATAAAGCACCTGGATCTGATAACACACAAGCTGAAATATTGAAACTATTTGAAAACAACCAACTAAAAAACTCCTAACGAATCTACTGAACAAAATCTATTAAACTGCAGAATTTCCTACAGATTGGCTAGTTACTACCTTCATCCCGCTCCCCACAAAGACAAATGCCACCAGATGCTTTGATTATAAAATTATAAGCTCAATGAGCCATTCACTTAAAATCCTTGTTTCTGTTATTCACTCTCACATATACAGAAAACTTGAAGAAAACATTAGCAGTGTTCAGTTTGGGTTTAGAAGCGGACTAGAAACGTGAAAGGCCCTATTTTATATACAAGTGTTGATCAAAGAGCTCGAGACGTAAATTTCAAAGTCTACACATGTTTCATAGACTTTAAAAAAGCATTTGACAAGGTGCAACATCAACAATTATTTCAGATACTAAAAGAATCTAGTATTAATGACAAACATTTACGCCTAATTAAAAATTTGTACATACAGCAAAGCGCAACTATACGAGTAAACGAAACTTCACAAGAATTCACGATAAAACGGGGAGTACGTCAGGGCTGCATTTTGTCACCGACGTTGTTCAATACTTACACGGAAATGCTATTCAGGGGAGCTATTGATGGTTTAAGAGAAGGTATAAAGGTGACATCATAAACAATTTAATATAAGACCAAAATTCTTGTAGTAAGTAACAAAACTACACAAGGACAAACACTTTAATTTTTTAAAATAGGCGAAGCTACATTATGTATGGAAACCGCAGACAGAATGGCTCCCCGTCAACGGAAATGTTGAGGTAACATGTGACATGTAGACATGTTACCTCCACATTTCCGTTGACCGGCAGCCATTCTGTCTCCAGTTTCCATAAATAATGTAGCTTCGCCTATTTTAAAAATTTTAAAGTGTTTGTCCTTGTGTAGTGTAGTGTGAATGGATGAGTAAAAATGAAGAT